AATATTACCGAAGAGTCCTGAATGGAAGATTTGCGAGGCTAAATATAGAAATAATTGTGCGACGCGACGACTCTCAAGTTTTGCTCAATCCTGTCGACCAACCTCGCAACGCGTTCCCATGGAGCGCCACTTGCTCTACACCCGCAATCATGGTCTGGTCAATCTGCGTATATGGTTTCGAGAGTTTCAGATGCACCATTCTCACCGGAAAATGGGTTTTCCGCGTGAAAACAAAAGCAGACAGAATCATCGACAAGTTCAAAGCCCACCTGGGTCGTACGTGGCTTCGACCAAGAGCACGGGCGAGACTTCACCGAAACATTCGCGCCGGTCAGCCGGCACACCTCACTGCGGATTCTCCTCGCGATAGCCGCCATGAAGCGGAAGAAGCTTCGCCAAATCGACGTCGCCAACGCCTTCCTCTACGCGCCCGTCGACGCTGAGATCTTCGTCGAGCAACCACACGGTTCCAACGCAGACCCCAATCAAGTTTGTCAACTGCTAAAATCCCTGTACGGCATCAAGCAAGCTCCAAGGCTCTGGCAGCAGTACCTGCACGCTCGATTAATCCGCATCGGATTCCGCCAACTACCGCATGACCAGGGCATGTACCGACTCACGAAAGGCACCGACTACATCCTACTTTTTGTCTACGTAGACGATCTGCTCTACATCGGCTCGACCGACGGCATCACGACCTGGTTCGCAGGGGAGCTGCAGCAGGACCTCACGCTCACGGTCTCATCTACCGTAACGCAATACCTCGGGCTCAACATACAAGAAAGGGAGAATGCAATCTACCTCAGCGCCGCGAAATACGCCGACACTATCGCCAAGCGCTTCGGATTAACCCCAGCCACCATCTCCACGCCATACCGCTACACCGCAGGGAGCCACAAGGAAACCTCCGCTCCGCTCAAGCCCGCTGGCATACGCGACTACCAGCGAAAACTGGGATGTCTCCACTTCGCAGCCGTCACCTGCCGACCGGATCTATCGTACTCAGTGAGCCAACTCGCCACCTACCTCAAGAAACCTAAAGCAGAGGACATGGCGGAGCTCGACCGCGCACTCCACTACTTCGTCAGCACCCCGACAATCGGCCTAACCTACCACAAGACTGGAACCACGATGCTGATCACGCCGGCGACTCTGACAACAGGCACTCACGCACCGGCTACATCTACCGACTCGAGCCTATCGGACCTATCTCGTGGCAGTCGAGCAAACAAGAACTAATCGCCCTCTCCTCAGCTGAAGCAGAATATATCGCATCCTGCTCAACCACCAAAGAAGGATTGTACCTTCGCGAACTGCTGGAAGAAGCGAAGCTAGCTCAGTTACCCAGCTTCTCCCTATTCTGCGACAACCAGTCAGCAATTCGCATAGCGAACAAGAACGGATTCGCGAACATGACGAAGCACATCGCCCTGCGATACTTCTTCGTGAAAGACGGGATCGAGAAAAGGAGACTCAAGTTATCCTACTGCCCCACGTCCGAGATGGCAGCCGGTTACTTGACCAAGAAGCTCGGAAAGCAGAAGTTCGAGTACTGCATGCTGCGTACTGGACAAGGCCACGTCATCAACAGCGACACTCCAGAAGCAAAGGGGAGTGTTGGAAACAAGTAACTTAACGCTTCTGATGTGTCGGAACATTGAACCGCAAAACGAAGCGAACCACAACGAAGCATCGGCGAGTCAACCGAGGAGGTTGACAAAATGTAACTGCTGGAGGTTACGCGAAGTTCAAAGGTCAAGCGACCTTTGACTCGACAAATACAGCGCGAGAGCAAGGACAAACAACTGACTCGTTATTGAGCAGTTGTCCGAGTCGTCACTGTATCGAACCGCAACAGCAATAGTAAAACGGTTATTGCATCCTTTCATATTCCTTTTAATCTTATAAAAGCTTGTACTACCTTTTCTTTAATCAATCTATCTTGCCCTCACATACTAGCGCAAGGTGGTTCAACACTTGTGATTAAAACGCTTCCGCAATTACATCATTCCTACCGAGAGTTTAGCCTTGAAAAGATCCTAACGGCTTTTCTCAGCCCAACAACAACCCATGCAACCCGTGCAACCTATTCAGCCTATGCAGCCAGTGCAGCCTATGACGACACCACCTAGTGCTGTTGGTACACAGGGCATGGGTGGCCCCTTTGGAACGAGTGGCAATGAGTCGCAGCCACGCCCCCCCGGGACGGAGTGAGTCTCATGATGCATGGCGTTTAAAAATGGGAGAGTCACAGGGTGGATGTGCTGTCTCTTTCTTAGCGCTCGCTCTCACCCTCGGGCGGATTTTTTTTCAGGGCACTAGTACGGCAGATTGGTGTTATGGCGCCTTTTGAAATCAGGAATCGTTATGTACCGAATACACCTGACACCTCAAGCAGATCTCTTCTGCAGAATGGTTCACTTGCAGAGCAGTGGTTTCTTGAAAGTTACGATGCATCAAAGAGTAGTGGTTTTCCCATGGAAGTGGCCATGAACCACTCACCATGAAATCAGAGGCATCCATTCATATGGTGGTACCTGCAAATGAAATTGTTGGTGCCATATAAGATCATCTATTGTGGTGTGAATATAGGCAGATTCTACTCCTGCACCAGTGCCCTAGATATCAGACTTTTTACGCTGATTCAGAGTCCATTCAGGCTTTTTTTTTTACCTGGTCTAAACTGTAAGTTTGTTTTTATGTCCCTTCTCTGATTTTTCAGATTTTTTTTTTTGTAGTGGCTATAATTTCAGACAAATTTTATGGGTGTAGGCTGAGCCTCAACCATGTTTCGGGGGTGCACTCTGAAACGGGTACTGCAGGGGTTTCCGCCAGCCTTGCGTCGTGTTGCACTAACACCGTCAATCAGGGGCGGGAAACGAAACATTTCCCGAGCGCGGCACCGCACAGTCACGTTGGGCCAGGAATGCTGTAATCTGGCTCAATTCCAGCCAATCGCGGTAGCGCAACAGGCAGTGTTGGCAAGATTCCTTGCCAACGCATAGCTCGCAGCGCGCTGCACCCGGACAACACCATAACCATCCACCCCCGGCCACCGTCCTCCTTGCCAACGCATAGCTCGCAGCGCGTTGCAACTCTCACGTCACCACATCCATCCACCCCACTCACCCCACCTTCCCTGCACACAAGACCAGGTGCCGTGCATGCAATGACCACAAAAGAGATGAGCGGTCCAAATACGAGGACCTCTCATGTTCCTCATCGTCGCCCTTCGTGGGGGTCACTCGGTGCCCTGTCTCTCTCGCTTCATTCAATTTCCTCGCCAGAAACTAGTGCTGGAACCCTTGTTTCAGGCTCTCTCTCCTCGCCCTAGCAAAACCAGTGCTCGGCAGACTCAATGGCAGCCACAGACGCTGCCCCCAAAGCGCCCGACGATGATGACGATACCGATCGTCGCCCTGCTTCAAACGCTTTGACCGGCCTGGACTTTCTTAGATCATGTTTACCGAGTCATGTTCCACCGATTGCTCCACCTGGATGGGAGTCTCCACCTAGCTTGTCGTCGGATGGGAGTCTCAACCGCTTCAAGATCACCCTGCACGAGCGCAAAGTGGCGAATTATCTCGGGGCGGGCCATCACGACGCGTGTGTGGCGCTCTTCACCGGCTTTGCCGAGGGCCTCGTCGAAGAGCTCCAGTCTAAGCTCGGCGACCTCGACACCCTTTCTAAAGTGCGGCTTTTCATTCCTGACGAGTGGCCTCCGAATTGGGAGAGGAGCGCACGGCAGGCACAGTGCCTTGAGTGGCTGTTGTCGCTAGTCACTCTGTTCCGCGCCGACGACTGTGATGAGATCCTGCCAGGTGAGTTTATAATGTGATGCTTGTTCGACCGTTGTCGTCCCGTCCCTTACTAATCCCACGCCCTACCCTAAACTTGCAGGCATTGACAAGAAGCGTGCCGTCAAGGAGCTGCGGACCCTGTGCCCAGTCCTGGCCAGAGCTCCTAAGAGCGAGCGCAAGTTCAACACGGGACTGACTGCAATCCTCAAGACACCTGACTGACAGCAAGCATACCCCAACCTCGTCAGACTCTGGGTGGCGATTGCAGTGCTGCCTCTCAGCACCGTCGAGTGCGAGAGAGGATTCTCTAGACAAAATCTCATCAAGACGTGGCAGAGGGGCAGTTTAAAAGACTGTAGGCTCAGTGACTTGCTGTATATGTCTATGCTAGACTATGAGCTGGACGTGCCGGGGGTTGTAGAGATTTGGCGCAGCTATAAGAAGCGTCGGCCAGTGACAGCACCTGCTGCAAGACACAGGGAGCCCCAAAGAGCTGGGAAGGAGGCTGTATGTAGAGGAGCCAGTAGTTCAGCGGGCAGCAGTAGAGTCACATGTGATAGAATCTGAGTCAGATAGTTGAAATGATTTTCCGGTGCAGTATAAAGGACTCAGCCTTCAAACTTAGTGTGACGCTGTACTATCAGCCTAAAAAATCTAGTGTTGTCTGAATTTCCAGACTCAAAGTTGGAACAAACTCTGACTGACAGAGTTTAGAGAAGGGTGCACTCTGACCCATCAGCGTGTCCCAAAACGAATCTAGAGCCCTGTCCTGCACAATGTAGTGGCAAGACAGGGAACTGGTACGGCAGTCTGATTAGGTTGTATAAATACCAGACTCGGGTACTGGCAATGGAGAAAAAAGCACCAGATTATGGCAGTCGGTACAGCAAGCACAACAGATAAATACTCAAATGCAGCTGAAAAGTTACCAGTACCAGAACATCAGCTCCCTGTTTCAACCGGCATGGAAAAGCAAGTACAAGCGCAAGAGTACAACAGTGCAGTCGTGCTTTGAGTCGACTCAAAACACGACTCAGTACAAGCGCAAGAGTAGTGCGATGCTTCTCCTTGCTGTTCCAAGCCCCGTGAAGCAAGCAGCACAGAAAGACCAAGCTTGCCTCCAGCCAGCCAGCATTGCTGCACCAGCCTCCCTAAACAGAATGGATGAGATGTGTTGTGAGTGCGCAGGATGAACGAGATTCACTGTAACGCGTACAAAACATCCGCAGGGGTAACTGGGCGTAAGGGATGTAAGAGGTAGTGCGGTGAGCAGCGAGAAGGAAAAGGAGTTCACCATTTCACGATGTGATACCGCAAGGTACCTAAACAAAGGTACCCTAAAAGAGCTGGCTTCTGGGTGCCTGTTTCATACCCATCACGTTTAGAAAGGCGGGGCGGAAGGAATGAGCGAAACCAGGGACGTCGAAATGAGAGGGGGAGGGCGAGAAGGAGCTGGGACGGGCGGGACGAAATGAGAGCGGGAGGGTGGCAAGGAAGGAAAGAGGGAGGGCGGGACGGAAGGAGAGCAGTGGGGGGGGAAGGGCTGGGGGAGGGAGCGCGGGACAGAAGGAGCTGTGGTGCGACGAGGGCAAGTGCGATACTCGCACAGCGGGCGCGAGCCGTTTGCACTGTTGGCGTAAGATGCCTGTCATGGGGTCGGGAGGTAAGGTGGGCGGGAGGAGGGCGGGTGGTGGGAGGGTGGTGGGAGGGTAAGTGAGGGCAACAGAAGGCGAGGTGAGGGTCATGGGGAAGGGAATTGAGGGCAGAGGGTGGTGGGAGCAGGGCAGAGATTGAGGGGAAGCAGGGCAGAGGACGGGGGGAAGGAGGGCAGAGGATGGGCGGAAGCAGGGGAGAGGACGGGGGGAAGCAGGGGAGAGGACGGGGGGAAGCAGGGGAGAGGAGGATGGGGGGAAGCAGGGGAGAGGATGGGGGGAAGCAGGGCAGAGATGGGGCGGAGCAGGGGAGAGGACGGGGGGAAGCAGGGCAGAGGATGGGGGGAAGCAGGGCAGAGGATGGGGGGAAGCAGGGAGAGAATGGGGGGAAGCTGCGCTGAGGATGGGGGGAAGCAGGGCAGAGGATGGGGGGAAGCAGGGCAGGGACGGGGGGAAGCAGGGCAGAGGACGGGGGGAAGCAGGGCAGAGGACGGGGGGAAGCAGGGCAGAGGACGGGGGGAAGCAGGGCAGAGGACGGGGGGAAGCAGGGCAGAGGACGTTGGGAAGCAGGGCAGCTAGTGGGGGGCAGAAAGGCAGGGGGCGTGGGAAAGCACAGCAGAGGATGGGGGACGCAGGGTAGATGGTTGGGGAAGGAGGGCAAAGGATGTGGGGAAGGCAGGGGGGAAGGAGGGCGGTCAGGGGAGGGAGGGAAGGGAGTAAGTAGGGGAAGAAAGGGGAGGGTGATAAGGGAGCGAGATGGGAGGGAGATGGGAGCGGAAGCGAGGGCGACGTTGGGGAGCGCGGCGACGGGCAGGGCGATGAAAATGGGAGAGGGGAGGGGAACGAGCAAAGGGAAGCGATGGCGACGAGGAGAAGTGAGGGCGACGGGGCGATGTGCAGGGAAAAATCGAGGGACGAGCAGGTAAGCGCGGGCGACGGGCATGGTAAGGGTGAGCGACGGGCAGGGAAGCAGAGAGCGTGAGTAGCAGCGGAACCGAGGGTGACGGGGGGAAGCGAGGGCGACGGGGGGAAGCGAGGGCGATGGGAAAAGCGAGGGGCAAGGGGTGGGGAAACGAGTGCGATGGGTAGGGCACAGGTGGGCGTCAGAGAGTGAGTGACGCCTGCATGAGTGACGGGTTTGGACCTAGAAACGGGAAAATGTGAGTGAAGAGAGTCCGTTGCATGAATGGCAAAAACCATGGCAACGCGACCGCGCTGCTGCTGCGTTGACTACGCTACTTATTCGAGTGAACAGGATGGAAATATAAGGAATGCCAATATAATACGCTAGTTCTTGCCTTGACTAATCGTTCACAAAAACCACACATATTTCGAAGTTCCAGCTGCACTACAAGACAATTACAAGCACGGAAAATCCTGAATTGAAGCACGAAGACTCAATTTGGACAATAAGCAAGCGCAAGCCGATTCGCTGGCCGCGCGTTAAGTCCTTGATCTCGGATACTTTTACCTCCTCATCGTGCGAGCTAGCGGGGTGGCGGCTCTGGATCTAAAGGCTAGTCGAAATTGGAGCGCAGCGGGACACCAGACTCTGTCGAAATAGTCTCGACCCAAAATGCAAAGTACAAGTTGCAAATTGCAATTTTTGTTTTTGCTCGCGAATCGAAACGAGACCCGAACACAACTTCGGCCACTATTACATGGCGTGAAACGTTGGTGATGGTCCCCCCTCTCCACACGACCTAACTCGACCTCCTTAGTTTAGGGAGCCCACTAGTTTTAGGGCAGCTATGGGAGTATCGAAACCCGAGCTCAGCCTGATAGCAAGTTGATCAGAATTACGTCGTTGCAAGACAGTTTAGAAGCTCAAAACATACGTTTCACAATTTCATCGTACAGCAATATCGAGGGACCCTGTATCAAAGCATGATTTCTCAACTTGGTTCTGAAGTCGCTCGACCAAGTTCGCTGGATGCCAAAACCACCAGTCCCAGTTCGAAGCATTCGCGAGACCCAAAAATCAACCAAAGGCCACGAGCTGACGTGGTGCGCGCTGATTTTGTTACCCAATATTCGCAAATAAACCTCACAACAAGAACTTCGCATTTTCCCAATCCCGAATCGCGTAGTTGCCGCGCCTCGATTTCACACTCGAACATCAGCCCTACCACTCGAATCAGAGATTCGTTCACTCCAGTCCAGTCCACATCTCGAACATAAATACCTCCCAACGAACTCTCAACAAATCGTCCAGGCAGTTCATTTTGCTCCCTGATTACTGCCATCTGCAGCCAAACCGCCTCCTTCAGCTCAAAATCATGGCTGCTCTCTCCTCCGCCACCGCGGCTTCCGCCGCTTCCGCGTTCGCCGGCTCGAGCGCGGAGCTCGCGGCGAAGGTCCGCAACGTGGAGTGTCGCGTCACGATGCGCAAGACCGTCAGCAAGGTCGCTGACAACCTGAGCCAGTGGTACGGCCCGGATCGCAGCCTGTTCCTCGGCCCGTTCAGCTCACCTCCCGCGTACCTGAAGGGAGAGTTCCCCGGCGACTACGGGTGGGACACTGCGGGATCTCTACAAAAAAAGTTAAAACCCGCAGGCCAAGAAGGCCAAATTTGGTTCATCCTTCCTAGCGTTGGTTGGATGTCCCAAAAATGCCTGTGATCATTCCCGCATTCTAGACCTCGTCCAACATTTCGGACACTCCTATTGGTTCGCAGGCCTTTTGCGTTTTCACTCCCAACCAACCTTCCTAAGGTTGAAATTCTTGGCCTGCGGGTTTTAAGCCACAATCCATGCCCAAAATCGGGTTTCCACCATCTATGCGCACTGACCATTGCACGACGAATGACAGAGGACACTTGAACCAATGCCTCCCGAGAAAAACATTGCTCGAGCAATGGCTGCTGGTCGAAAACAGTGTTCCCCCTTTCACATTGTCTCTCCAGCTACGAGCAGTCCGGACTTCACGAGCGCCGCACGTGCCAATTTTGGGTTGGTAAACCAAACTTACTACGGTTGTGTAGGATTTACAGTGGTGCGTTTTCGTTGCAATGACTTAGCTACGCAAACTGCTTGCATTACACAACTCGAATTCGCATTGGCTGGAAACCAGGTGCTGACGAAAACAAATTTCGCAGCAGATAAGGAGTTGCTGACGCGTCAAGCAGCAGCTCGACTGACTTGGCAGTGTCACGCTCGAATGTGACAGCGCGGATGTGGTTAGGCGAGGTGAGGGAAGTGGGTTTCTCTTCTTCAAAATTTTCGTTAAAGTTTCGCTGAACGCGCAGGGCAAAACCACGCAGAGACGACTTTGCCAATCGTTTCGCCAAAATTTCGCCAATCAGCAGCCGTGACACAACACCAGAGTGGTTGTTCCTGGCGTGGGGCAGGGGAGCTGCTTTTGCTCCCTCGCTACTCAAATTCCACCCACAGCTCAGCCCTCAATCCATTCTCTACCGTGCGGACTCCATGCTCCATTTTCCTTGACAGCTTGCGCGGTGTTTTGGCTGATTGCTGATTCCGCTCTTCCTTTCCCATCTAATACATAGACCACTAACATATTTGACGCTGTTCACTCTGTCTTATATCCTCCCTCCAGCAGGATTTTGAAAATCTGCCGTGCCAGACGATACCAGCGAACTTTGTCTTGGCTGCAAGTAACGTGCGACTGCGCTAACTGCCTCACGAACTACGCTCGATGGTCCATTGATGTGCACATATGGTGAGTTTCCGTTTCACGCTAACACGACTTTGTGGGGATTTATTTCTGTGCAATGTACGATTCGTGCATGACATCAGCAGGAGATTATTGACTTCCCAGTTTGTTATCGTCGTCAAGCGTCGGAGACTACTATCGCTGGAGTTAATTTCTTTTTTCTGAAGACTTGTCGCCATATTGTCGCTGGTTCTTGGTTTCTGCGGATATGCATTTTCTGCAAATAGCTCCCGACTCCCAGTCACATCAACGCGCGACATTGAAGGTATGCCGCTGTTTGGAGGTTTTCGCGACGTCCTTATTATGCTGACCTAACTATGCTGTGTGTGTTGGTGCTGTGTCCGGACTTCCTTCCCCTTCGACCGAAGGGTAGTTTAACGGCTATTACTGTTCTGCGCTGTGCAGGTATAGGTTTCTAACTAGGCTTTGTTCTGTAACTTCTTACTAATTTATTGATTTGTAACATTCTGTAGTCCTTTTTAAAAGTTGCTTGCCATGTCTGTTTGCGGCCAAATATTGGTTTAGGAGATTTCGTATGCTGATTATTGCTGTGACAGTGTGTGACTACCTTGTGACGCGTGTCATAATATCGAAGGCTGTTTATGCTCATGTTTGTTTTGTATGCTGCTGAGTACACTCGGTTTGGGTGCTTCCGAAATTGTATCGAGACTGACCTTGAAAGACATCACACGTGTGAGCGATGTATGTTTCCGGAATGAACATAGTTGCTTGAAACACACCTCCTAGTTTGTTGCCGAACCTGGAAGGCAAACCTGGAAGAATCATCACGAGCAATCTCCCAACAACATTCTTCACAGGCTGAGGAATCATCATGATAAACCTCAAACATTGTTGCCCCGCGACTACATTCAGCAATGTTTTCTAAAACGTGGGGCAATGTTTGGGCGAATTTTTTTTTGCTGAGATTATCAGCGGATCCAGAGACCTTTGCAAAGAACCGCGAGTTGGAGGTGATTCACTCGCGCTGGGCCATGCTCGGCGCGCTTGGCATCGTCTTCCCCGAGCTGCTGGCGCGCAACGGCGTGCCGCTGCAAGAGGCAGTGTGGTTCAAGGCGGGCGCGCAGATCTTCTCCGAGGGCAGGCTCGACTACCTGGTCAACCCCGCGCTCATCCACGCGCAGAGCATCCTCGCCACGCTCGCCGTCCAGGTGCGAAAAGAATGGCCATAATTTCTATCACCTTCCCTGCTGCGCTCGCCATCCAGGTGTGTTCGCCGATCAGATTTCCCTCACCTACGCTCGCCTTCCAGGTGCGCTCTGGTATTATTTCTTCCTCATTTCTCGCTTTGGCCCCGCCGTCAGATCCGTCGCGAGATTGGCCACCGTTTGCTTCCGACACCCTTCTCTAAGTCCCTTCCTTTCCTCGTCATTAAATCTCGCGATCTGCGCGAACCACAATCTCTGACGCATCTCTATGTAACGTGGTAACCCGATGTTGCGTCGTTCCCCAGGTGGTGTTGCTGGGCGCGGTGGAGAGCTACCGCGTGGGCGGGCTCGAGGGGTTCCAGGAGGTGGAGGATCCGATCTACCCGGGCGGCGCGTTCGACCCGCTGGGGCTGGCGGACGAACCCGACGCGGCGGCGGAGCTGAAGGTGAAGGAGCTCAAGAACGGGCGCCTCGCGCAGGTGTCGGCGCTGGGCTTCTTCGTGCAGGCCATCGTGACGGGCAAGGGGCCCCTCGAGAACCTCGCGGAGCCCCCTCGGGAGAACGAGGAGCAGGGAGAAAGGAGAGTGGGAAGAGAGGAGAGCAGAGAGTAAGGGGAGCAGAGAGGATGGAAAGCAGAGAGAACGAAGAGAAGGGAGAAAGGAGAGCAGTGGGGAAAGGGCAGCACCCAAATCAGTCAGAATGGGCTCGCTGGTGCGGTAAACGAGATCTTCCAATTGTGAGCCATGCCGGATTGGGGGAGGAATGTGAGGGTGGAGTGGAAGGTGACAGGGTGAAGCGGGGTGTGAAGTGGAAGAGCGGGGGGTGCTGAGAAGGAAGAACGGGAGGGAGGTGAAGGGGAGGTCAATGAAAAGGTGACACCCTCAAAGACGGATTGACACGGTGACGGAAGCGTGTCTCAAATTCTACGGAAACAATGCAATGCCGATGCCCTCACCATCCACAATCAGGTGAGTGTCTCAACCTTCCCACTCCCTTCACTGGTCTCGTCTTGACTCTCAAGCACAGACTACTCCTCCACGCCCACCCCACACTGTGCTGTCCCGCTCCCTTCACCATCCACGACCATTACGGCACAACAACCCTCTGATTCCCCCCTCACTGATCGCAACTCAACCCTCACCCTCTCCTCACCGCCCGTAATCCTCACTGCCCTCCCCATCCATGACAACTGCACTGTATCATCCCCTACATTCCCCTCAGTGTTCTCTCAACTCCCACTACCTTCCTCACCTGAGTGGTCTTGAGCACCGAGTATTCCTCAACACCAGCCTTCACTCGGTGCTGCCCCGCTGCATCCACCTCCACCTCCGCCACCCGCCTCTCCCTGCACAGCGTGAATCCTGCCGTGCCACATGTCATGCAACCCGATGCCATGCCGTGCCATGTCATGCCACACCATGCCATGCCGTGCCATACCGTGTTATGCTATGTCATGCGATGCCACCAAGCCACACCATGCAATGCGATGTGATGCCATGTAATTCCATGCCATCATGTCATGCCATGCCATCATGCCATGCCATCATGCCATGCCATGCCATGCCAAGCCACGCCATGCGATGAGTGCAGTGCCGGGGAGGGTCATCATGCAGCAACACACGGAGCAGCGAAACGCAGAGCAGAGCAGTGTGGTGCTGACTGCCTGCCAAAGCAGAGCAGAGTAGCATGGGCATTCCTCCACAGCAGCAACTATACGTACCAGCGAAATGGTGCCTACCACAGCACATACCACACACTCCCTATTGTTATGCGACCACCGACCACCACACCACACCACCCCCCACCCCATAAACCATTCACTTTCACCCCACCGCAGAGGGAGAAACTTCATCGTGTGGCACACAGACATATGACACACAGCAAGACGCACGCGGAGGGTGACAGAAATAGGGGTTGTCAGAGATACATGGCGGCACAGACGGTGCGAGGTGTGGAGAAGGGATATCCTCACCACCATGCAGAACTCACTGCTCATCTCCACGTGGCATCACTGCTCACCTCCACTTGGCATCACTGCTCACCTCCACGTGGCATCACTGCTCACCTCCACGTGGCATCAACACCTCCACGTGGCATCACTGCTCACCTCCACGTGGCATCACTGCTCACCTCCACGTGGTACTCACTGCTCACCTCCACGTGGCCTGCACTGTGGTGGCGAGGATGCGCTCCCTTGTGTCTGGCAGCAGCGTGTTCTGATCGCGTATGAAGCCCTCAAAGCCAGACTGGAGATTTGAGGGGGGAAGGGAAGCAGAGAGAAGAAAGGAGAGAGCAGAGAGCAGTGGGCAAAGGACAGCAGAGAAATCGATGTGGCTGTGGCTCCTTGGGTGTGGCAGCAGCGTGCTCTGGTTGCGCATGAAGCCCTCAAAGCCAGAGTGAGAGGGGGATGCAGGGGAGCCAAGGGAAAGAGGAGCAGAGAAAAAATCGGAGAGAGGAGGGCAGAGACAAAAGGGGCATCATCCCCAGCTGCGGATGAAGAGCAGCAAGCAGAAGAAAGCAGGGTTACTTCAGCCTCTACCCGTACCGGAGCAGCCATGGCAAGTCGTTAGTCTCGACTTCATCACAGGACTTGATTCCATCCTCGTAGTCATCGATAAGTTCTCCAAAATGGGGCACTTCCTACCGACCAACGCCACCGCCACAGCAGAAGCAACTGCTCGCCTCTTCTTCGACCGCATCATCACCATCCACGGCATCCCCGCTACACTCATCTCAGACAGAGACCCAAAATTCACCAGTAAGTTTTGGAAGGAGCTCATGGGATTATTGGGGACTAAACTTGCGATGTCCTCAGCATACCACCCACAGACTGACGGACAGACAGAGCGACTCAATCAAGTGGTTGAACAGTTACTGCGCACAGCTTGCAAGGACGACGTCAGCCACTGGGACACACAGTTACCGACCCTAGAGTTCGCTTACAACAACGCGTCACATGCGGCCACAGGGAAAACTCCTTTCTTCCTGTGTTACGGACGGGAACCACTCACACCACAGCAGCCTACCACACCGGCACACGTCCAAGCCGCACATGACTTCGTCACCACCATGCAGCAGGTATGGGAGAAGACTCAGCGACGACTCACCACGATGCAGACCTCCCAGAAGCAGTATGCCGATCGTCAGTGACGTGATCACTCAGTAGCAGTCGGAGATCAGGTGCTTCTTGACACGCGCAACTTGAACCTGTCTCACCTCCCATCCAAACTCCGGCCTCGCTTCTGTGGTCCTTTTCTCGTTGAGGCACAGGTGACACCAGTTACATTCCGCTTGCGCTTACCAGATATGTGGAAGCTTCACAATGCTTTCCATGTGCAGCTACTGAAACCCTACAAGGACCCCAACCAACAGTTCCAGGGACGGCAGCTACCGCCACCTCCACCTGTTCTTGTGCAGGACGAAACCGAGTACGAGATTGAGCGCGTCCTCTCTCATCGGCGCCGCGGCGGCAGGACCCTCGAGTTCCTGATACGCTGGAAGGGATACGACCCTACTGAGGACAGTTGGGTTGCAGAAGCTGATATGGGCAACGCACGCCGTGCTCTCAAGGACTATCTTGTCAAGCAGGGTGTATCTCACGCCACCCAGCTTTGAGGGGGGGACGTGTGAGAGTACGACGGCTTATGCCAGCTATGCTTGCTTGCCTTTACTTTATTATGCTATTTCTAGCATAGGAGAATTATATGCATGCATGAATTGCTTGATTTCCTAGGCTAGGTGCTTTCCTATATTTTATTTTAGTTATAGCACCGAGTTAGGTTGCGTGCACCGAATTCTGGCTCTTCGGTTGCCACCGAATTGCCTTCTACCGAATTCGGGAAGGATCTGTTCGGGACGCTTCGCGACCCGCGGAACCTTCGCGTAACACCTGGTTACGGGGCCTTGTGTCGAGCATATATATAGCCTCGTGTTGTGCCCAGGTGATCATTAAATTCACATTCTCTTTTCTGAGCTCGATCCTAGATCCTCACAGAGAGATAGCAACCTGCTGTTGCCAGCTCCGCCGCTTCTTTCCGCCATCACGAACTGACTGAGGAAGAATGAACCTGGAAGCGTCTAGAAGCCACAACGGGAGAAATGAAATGGGAGAGAAAGGAATTAAACGAGGAGCAGAAGCACGAGCAGATGCGAAGGATCTGCAGCAATTAATTTGTCGGGAAGACGGTTGGCCAGATTTCGCTGAGATCAGATGTTTGGTAAGAAGAAAGGGTTCATACCCAGCAGATCGGACCGTCCGAGCCTTGCGGGAAGCCTTCCGTGGTGGGCCTGGTGTCAGGGCGAAACTCGACGCACCACCACGGGTTCCGGAATAACCGCTACGACGAAAAGGGTTTGAGGCGCTTCAGAAGAAAAGCGCCGTCACGTACCTCTGCTAGTCCGAGCACACGAGGAACTGAGTGAAGGTTACGACTCAGACAAGGCAAGGGATGGATCCAACGACAAATTTTCTGTTGAACGAACTAATCTTTAAGGGAGGACGACAAATTCCCCGTCAGCCGGGATCCTCCTCTTGTCTTAGATCGATCGAAGTTGGACTGGCTACTAGGGTTTCTCCGTGATTGGGTCCAGGAGGTAGGAGGAACCCTAACCAACCGATCTGAACCTCCTGAACGAGCGGAAAACGAAGCTGCATGATAGCCATGACGGCATGGATGCGGCGCAACAAACCACTGTTTCCACGTCAACCATCCGATCGCGTGCGCTGGAACGGCCCTGCCTGACGCACTCACTCATCCACTCCACACACACAAACGGGGAACGTAAATGCATAGGGAGAAGAAGGGAGCTCTCGAGGTTCTGCTTGTCTTGTGGGCGCCAGGCTCTGGGTGGAACGGTTCTGCTGGGTTTCTACGAGCATCGAGATTTGACTTCCGAATTGACTGAGAACGGGAGGTGGGGAACGAAAACGAGCCTCGGGGGAGGGGAGGGTTCCTGGAACTGATGTGGAACGCAGTCGTCCCGTAACGCGTACATTCCGTGGGACTGACCTAGTACAGAACTCGCAATTTTTGTGTTGGGAGGCTAGCAGAAGTGCAATTGAAATGTATCACAAAAGCAGCAACAAGGAAATTTGGAGGCATTGCATGCAGCATTGTATTACCTTATGCTACATGTGGTTACTAGACGTAAAGGCAAACCCCACCGGGTGCATCAAATAGAGGCTCTCCCGTTTGGGGAAAGCCCGAGTTGGGAATGGCAAAGAAACGGGAGGCGAACATCAGCAATCTTAGGGTGCATTCAGGAAGCGTGTCGTAAAAGACTAGATACAGTGCAGTGGAAACGTTTATCTATTTAGGTGTGCAGATTGGTATACTGTCTTTGTGGTGCCTAAATTCGCGTCGCGCCCCTTATTCATGACAAAGATAAAGCCAGTAATGATTTTATTAGACATAACATCATTATACTCTGCTCCATGTGGTTCCGAGCCATGTGAGACTAACAGGCACGTCAGGGAAGCAGTTATCAGGCGGCATAAAGGCAGACCCTGCCGGATGCATGGAGTAGAGCAGCGCTGTGCGGGAGAAACCCGAGTTGGGAATGATGAAGAAATGGGAGGAGGCTAGCAGCAGCCACTCGGCTATGAGCTCAAGGAAGGGGTTGGAGGAAGACGAGGGAGATGAGTTGGATGGGGATGGGTTGGTGGTGTCTTCCCCACTCATGCTGTTGGCGTGGCGGGGAGTGAAGTCGGTGGTTACCACCTGTAGGTTGAGAAGGCAAGAAGGGAGAAAGGGATAGAAGGGAATTGGAGAATGGGAGGATGGGGCAAGGGGAAAGTGGCTGTTGGCGTGGCGTGGAGTGAAGTCGGTGGTTACCACCTGTGGGTGAGGAAGGGAGACGGGGGGGAAGGGAAAGGAGCAAGCATTGAGGAGGAAGCGGATGGGGAGGGGATTGCATGCTGGTGTCGTCCCTACTCATGCTGTTGGCGTGGCCGGAGTGAAGTCGGTGGTTACCACCTGGCGGGTCACGGAGAAGAGAAGTGGAGGCGAACTAGATAATGCTGAAGGAAAAAGAAAAACATACACTGGGGGGGGCGTTCAAGACGCTGGTGTCGGCGGCAGTTTGGAGAGAGATCACACGGGTGGTGCACACAATCTTGCCTGAGGAGGAGCCAGCGAGAGCGGATGCGCTGGAGAAATTGGAGAGAAGCGTGCAAAGGTTTTTATTATCCACGGACGTTAACTGCATCAGGAGGAACCTGACAAGGGCAAAAGAATGGTGGGAAGACGTAAAGGTGGCCGAAGTGGACAAGAGGGAGGCATGGGGAGACACCAGAAATCTGCCGCCGGAATCTCTGGCAGATTTCTGACGTCTCCCAATGCCTCCCTCTTGTCCACTTCGGTCACCTTTACATCTTCCCACCATTTCTTTTGCCCTTGTCAGGTTCATCCTGATGCAGTTAACGTTCGTGGGTAATAAAAACCTTTGCACGCTTCTCTCCAATTTTTCCAGCGCATCCGCTCTCGCTGGCTCCTCCTCAGGCAAGATTGTGTGCACCACCCGTGTGATCTCTCTCCAAACTGCCGCCGACACCAGCGTCTTGAACGCCCCCACAGTGTATGTTTTTCTTTTTCCTTCAGCATTATCTAGTTTGATAAAAGAACGCGGGGGAAAGATAGAGTTTAGTAATAGTATGACAAAGTCCCAAGGATCGTTGCACATGAGGAAGGGCGGCAGTAGGATGGGTCGTGTTAGCAAAGAGATGGTAGCCACTTTGCAAAAACAATAGTAACCACGAAAACCTTCGAGTAAAACCCAAACGCACAGCTCGATTCAAACTCTAGTCTTAGGCAAACATGTTTCAGCATGGTGACCATACCCGCTATTGTAAGGCGCAAGGTAAGGCCTTACCTTCAACAGTGCGATTATTTCAAGACTTTTTGGAAAAGCCTCATCCTTTCTGGGTACTTACAGAGAGGCTTGACTTGTAAATGCCTCACCTTGTATGGGTATTGTCTGCGAGTCCCTCACCTTATCCGGGTATTGCTTGCGAATGGCCTCTTTGACTTGCATGGAGTTGCAAAGGAGCAACCACTTGACAGGGAGGGAGGAGGGGACGTGCCACTCCTGCACTCGCTGCGGGGTGGAGGGAGAATGGAGGCGGGAGTGGGGTGTGCGGAGAAACAGAACGAGCAATAAGGGAGAGATATAGCCACTTGGCAGGGAGGGAGGAGGGGAAATGCCACTTTTGCACTCTCTGCGGGAATGAAGTGGGGAGAGTGGAAGGGAGACGGGTTGAGGCGCAAGATAAAAAGCAAAACAAGGAGCGATAGAAAGCCGCTTGACAGGGAGGGTGGATGGAGGGGACGTGCCACTCCTGCACTCGCTGTGTGCGTTGAGGGTGGAGAACGTGTGTTGGTGTTACTTGATGTGTTGGAGAACGTGTGTTTTGGAGAATATTCTAAATTCACACACCAACACTCGCTGTGCGTGTTGAGGGTGGAGAACGAGTGTTGAAGGAAGGCGGAGTGGGGATCGAATGGAAGGAGAAACTTATGGAGTATTTATAGTGGACTCATTTAGGGGGAGAAAACAAACGACGCGCTTTTGCATCCGGGTCCTCTTCTGTCTCCTCCCTTCCCCTCCCTGTGAACCCCTCCCTGTGAACCCCTCACCTTACCATCGCGAACGATGGTTCACACCATCTTCCACCGTTTCTCTCACTTGCTCTTCTGAGACTGATAAAGATGCATCCTCCCTTCCCTCAGTTCTCTCCCTCCCACCTACCAGTGCCCCTCTTTCCCCTCCAATCCTCTCCCTCACCTTTGCACACTCAAGTGTGGGTCGAACGTCTTCCATCATCTCCCCCACTCGCTCTTCTTCTGAGAGTGACGAGGGTGCATCCTCCTCTTACCTCCTCTTGACCCCGTCCCCCCACATGCCCTTCCTTACCTTGGCACACTCCAATGTGGGTTTAACCTCCTCCACCATCTCCCTCACTCGCTCCTCTGAGAGTGACAAAGGCGTCCCCTCCTCTAACCCCTCTTGATCCCGGCCCCTACAAACCCTTCCTCCTCACCTTGGCACACTCAAGAGTGGGTTTGACTTCTTCCACCATCGCCCTCACTCGCTCCTCTGAGAGTGATAACGGCGCGCCCTCCCCTCCCTCGCCCCACACTGCTCTGTCCTCGAATCGAATGTGTAAGCCGATCACAACCGTCCGATCGCCCCTCAGCTGCTGATCGAACGGTCGGATGAGTTGCCACACCTCGGGCTTTGGTCTGGAGGGCTAGGCGAGCAGGATTACGGAAGGAAGAAACAAGAATGGGGACAGGGGAAAGGGGGACGGGTGGGGGAAGAAACGTGATGGAAGGAGAAGGGATGATTGGCAGGTAGGGAGGGGTGGGTATGGAGGGGTGAAGGCTGGTTAAGCAATGATGAGGAGGAGAAACGAGAAGAGAAGAGGACAGAATGATGGGATGGGAGGGACGAGGGTGTTACGGGGATGGACGGGAGGAGCGGAGGCAACAGAAGAGAGAAGTGGGAAGGGGTGAAGGTTTGTTACGCACCCGCGGCAAGCAACCGAAGCAAGTTATGCCCGTTGCAAGCAACAGCCTGAGCCCCAACCCTTCACAGCCTTTACGTTCACAGTCCACTCCCCACTGCACAGCCGCATCCCCCACCCACCTGACAACCACCTGAGAAAGCACCTGAGTAATCACCTGAGAAGGAAGCGCAGAAAACATCCCGTTGCAAGCGGCAGCCTGAGCCCCATACTCCTCAACCTTAAAGCCCACTCCCTGCTGCCCCTCATCCCCCACTCTCCTCCCACACCTCCCTCCTCCTTCCCTCCGTTATCCGCGTTATAAGCCTCCCTATCCGCGTTATAAGCCTCCAGGAAGAGCCGGGTGAGCACGCCGCGGTTCCAGCGCAGCAGGATGTTGGCGGCGGGGGCGAGGCGGGAGAAGAGCGGCTGCAAGTCCACATGGCGGTTCTTGAGGTTCAGCCGAACCACCTCCCCTGCCTGCACCGCTGCGTCTGCCGGCTCTGCCCCTGCCTCACTGTCTGCCTCACTGCCTGCAGCAGCACCAGCAGCCGGTGGTGAATTAGCAGCAGAAGGGCCGACGTCAGGAGGCGGAACGTACGTGTATTTCCTGGAAGGTTCCATGGGGACATCGTCGGTCAACCGCCAGTCAACGTGGGCGGGGTCAAAGGCTTGCGGCAAGCACGGGTGGTTGAGAATCAGGGCACGTCCGTCCAAAAGTGCTACAGTGAACGCGGCGGCTAGACCAATCAGAGCGTCCCCCAGCCCCCCACACCCGAAGAGGACCTCGTAGGTGAGGAAGCGGAGAGGGGGAGGGGAGGGGGAGGAGGAGGGGAGGGGTGGTGGTGAGAGTGGAGAAGCTGAGGCAGTAGCGGCAGCAGCAGCAGAAGGCGCCGTGGCATCGGCAGCAGTAGCAACTGCCACACCTGCCTGGGTTTGTACTTGTGCTTGATCCTGGGCTTGCGGTTGGGCTTGGGCTTCTGCTTGGGCTTCTGCTTGGGCTTCTGCTTGGGCTTCTGCTTGTGTCTGTGCGTGCTGTCGTTTGCTCGCCTCCCTCATGCCTGCATGCAGTTTCACGTACTCCTTCCACCAGTCGCCACAGAGGTGCTCGGGAAACCCGAAGCGGAGGTGAGAGGAGGGTGCGAGGCGTGAGGAGGGGAGGAACGAACCCTGAGAGGGGAGGGGCGGGAGGGCAGGAGGATGTTAGAGGAAGGGAGGACAGAACCCCGATGGAAGGAGATTAATCATTGGGAGAGTAAGGAAGAACGTAACAAGGGTTGAGATGAAATGTCACTCAAAGAGCGTTTCTCCCTCTTGCGTGCATGCAGCTTCACGTACTCCTTCCACCAGTCGCCACAGAGGTGCTCGGGGAATCCGAAGCGGAGGTGAGAGGAGGGTGCGAGGCGTGAGGAGGGGAGGAACGAACCCTGATGAGAAGGGGGTTATATGGGGGAGAGAATCAGGAGTTTCAGCAGCGCTTGAGGTGAGACGTCACACAAGCAGCTCTCCTCATTCTGAGGCGCCTCAAACCAGCACTCTCCTCCCTCATGCGTGCATGCAGTTTCACGTACTCCTTCCACCAGTCGCCACAGAGGTGCTCGGGGAACCGAAGCGGAGGTGCGAGGAGGGGCGAGGCGTGACACGGGGAAGAAGGAACCCTGATGTATGGGAGTTCATATGGTGGAGAGAATCAGGAGCAACAACAGGGCTTGAGCTGAGACGCCACACCACAAGGTGCTCTCCTCTCTCATGCCTGCATGCAGTTTCACATACTCCTTCCACCAGTCGCCTCCGGGGAGCCCGAAGCAGGGGTGAGAGACAGGGAAGATAGCGCGCCGTTAAAGATAGGGGACAGCAACGGGGAGTTGGAAATGGGGAGTGGAGGAGGGGGGTGGAGAGAAGAGGAGAAAGACAAACAATTTTCAAAAGGGGATTTGGTCCTGAAGGTCGCAACGCGGAGAGTGGGAAGAAGAGGGACGAAAAGAGGAAAGGCGTATGGCGAAGGATCGGGAATGGGGGGCGAGAGGGCCGAAACGGGGACGGAGGAGGGAAACGGGAATGGCGAACGGGAAGAAAAGGCGACGAAGAAATGCGAGAAGAGCGAACGATGGATGGATGGGGACCACTGACCAGCGAATCACAGTTTGACACGTCATCGCCCAGCGACAATTTCAGCGGCAGCAGCAGCAGCAGCAACGCTAGTAGGCTGAGACACTGAGAGCGGCGTGAGTGGATGATATAATAAGGCGTGGGTTGTCTAGGCGCCGCGAAAATGTTCCTATCGTTCATCGAGATTCGCGAATTCGCCACTTTCGCGAATCTCGCCGCCATTGGGAGAGGTGCTGCCGGTGAACAGCAGGAGCCGCGCGAGTCATAAGATTTACAGCATCAGTATAGAATAATGCAGACTAGATGTCATTATAATACGGCATCGCGATGTTTTTCGCAATATTACGCCGTCTCGACAGTAATAAGAACGGGGAAATAGTGGTTGTTCTAGTGAACAGGACAGACAGATAGTATCATGCTCCAAAGTTTAGACTAGAAAACCACGTCACTCACCGACACCGAATTCAACCGCATTAAAACATCCTGAAACGTTATCTGATGGGGCTACATGGAAATCTGAGCCTTAGGGCGTGTAACTTTTTCACTTTCAGTCGTCCGTACGGATGCCCCGTCCGGACGTTTTTAGGGTTACCAAATTCGTCAAGACTCGTTCAGCGTTTCGTAAGTCCCCTTGCGACGTCGCTACAGTCCGGACCAAATCTGGCACTTTTTTGCCAAAAAGTTGTCCGGACTACCCCGCTGAAAACGTCCGAACGGCAGTTCGGACCGTCCGCTTTGGCTGCGATATCATTGGCGCGCGAATCTGGTGACGACTACAACCAGTAATGTGCCGCAGATTTTGTGTGACGACACTTGCGAACGCTGCACGAATTCTGTTATTCTTGTTATGAATTTCGCTTTTTCGAGATTACAAAAAAGTTTCATATTTGTTGTCCGGACGGGCAGTTGTCCGGACCTGATTCCCAAACGTCCGGACGGAGCTCCGTCCGGCCTGTTTGGGGGCTCCGTCCGGACTTTTGACCAAAACGGAAAAAGTTACACGCCCTTAGTGACCGTTGAAAAAGAAAGATGTGAGTGGAGGTCGCGAAATCTTCACGACTTTCGCAGAATCCATCGAGTAGGGCAACGACAATCTCGAAAACAGATGACGAAAACAGCGTATGTTTTCTCACGCATTCAAGAATGTGAGGTGGTATTGGAGTTACAGAAAAGCTCTCGCCATCGCCACGACAGTCTTGCAATGGGAATGGCAAGCGTTTCAGTTGGTTTCGAAGCGGTTTAGCATGTGTGTAATGTGGTAACGACTTGATCCCTCTGTGACCCTTGATTTGCAGATCCAGCTTGCGTTTCCTCGATATTGTCATTCAATCTAATCGAGGGACGCAATATGGAGACAGCGACGCAAGGTGTTGTGACCTTCATCGTGAGACCGCGCCAGCATCAGTGGCTTCTGTGCTGATCCCGCCAGCACGACATTAAACTCTCGCCTCGCCTCGGGCTTCCACGGGTTGACTTTCTATTACCCAGCCTAGACGTCCTTAGAATTCCCACCCCTGCTGCGCTAACCCATCCTCGCCTTCGGCCTACATTCCTACGTCCTTACCCGTTCTGTTTAACTCCTTTCAGCTCAACTCCGTCTAACTTAAAATCAATCTAGCTCCGACCCTTGTTGCGCTTCCCGCGCGGAGAAGCACTCGCCGCGCCTCATGCGGCCACCGTCCTTCGCGGCGCTCATGCCGCCGTGGCGTCCGCCTTTTGCGGCGCTCATGCGGCACTCTGTCCACCTCCTGCTGCTCCTCGTGTGCTTGTCGCAGGTAAGACGATCGGACGCGGGAGAGAGAGAGGGAGAGTGACGATCGGACGAGGGAGAGAGAGAGGGAGAGTGACGATCGGACGAGGGAGAGAGAGAGGGAGAGTGACGATCGGACGAGGGAGAGAGAGAGTGACGAGAGGACGAGGGAGAGAGAGAGTGACGAGAGGACGAGGGAGAGAGAGAGAATGCGTCAGCACTCTCACTCACTCACTCACCCACTTCACTCTCCCCCTCTTTCCAGGCCTACTTCGTCAGGGATCAGCATTGGGTCGCACAGAGCTGGCACAGGTACCAACCCCCCTGGTGCAAGTGACTATATTGAGGCGCCCTAATAAGAAACTTTGCATTCTCTCCCCCTCTTTTCAGGCCTACTTCCTCTGGTCAGGGATCAACGTTGGGTCACACAGAGCTGGCGGAGAGTGCAATGAGCACTCTAAAATGCTGCTGCAACAGCAACCACAAGAGCACCAGGGGCCGCAGCAAGAAGCATGGCACGAGTCGGTGCAGAGAGGTGAGATTGTATTCTTCCCCCTTAATGCACATGACTGCAATGAGAATTCTAAAATGCTGCCACAACAGCAACCACACGAACAACAGGAGCCGCAGCAAGAAGCATGGCATGACTCGGTGCACAGAGGTGAGATTGGAAGCCTCCCACCTTGGTGCACGTGACTGCAATGAGCACTCTGTAATGCTGCTACAACAGCAGCCACAAGAACATCAGCAGCAGCAAGAAGCATGGCATGAGTCGGTGCAGAGAGGTGAGATTGCACCCCTCTACCCTTGGTGCATGCGACTGCAATGAGCACTCCAAAGGGCTGTTACAGCAGCAACCACAAGAAGAGCAGCAGGAGCAGCAGCAGTAGCAAGAAGCATGGCATGAGTCGGTGCAGAGAGGTGAGATTGGACCCTGCCTCTCTTGGTCCATGAGACCGCGCCTGGGAAAGGTATGGGCTGACTCGGTGGGAGGTGTGTGCATGTGGGTTCGACGTCTCTCAACTCACCACCTTCAAATATTTGTCGCTCTGTTGCTTTATTCCCTTGCGCCTGAACAGTACAGCAGATGGGATTGGCAGCAGCACAAGGCAAGGTAAGGGTATGTGCTGACTCAGTCGGCGGGAGGTGCGTGCATCTGCGCTGCGCTCAATGCCTCTCCGCTGCTCACCACCTTCATGCTGCAGGGTGTTTTTGAGAATTCTCAAAAACACCCTGCAGCATCAGTCGGTGGGAGGTGCGTGCATCGGCGCTCAATGCCTCTCCGCTCAATGCCTCTCCGCTCAATGCCTCTCCGCTCAATGCCTCTCCGCTCAATGCCTCTCCGCCCCTCACCACCTTCAAGTATGTGTGTCGCCCTGTTGCCTTGTTGCTGTGCTGCCGTGCTTCCTTGTGCCTGAACAGTGCAGCAGGTGGTGTGGGAGACGGCAGCAGATTAGGCTCGCGTTTGGCTGATTGGACGGGTGTTTTGGTGGGCTCGATGCCTCGCCCCTATTGGGTTGGATGCGTGTTCATGTGTTGCGTTGTTGCCGTGTTGCCGTGCCGTGTTCCCTTGAGCAGTGCAGCAGGAGGAGTGGGAGTGGGCAGCACAGAGTCGCTTTCAGCTTATGAGAATCAGTTTACCACTGACAGGACTCTTGCTGCTGCCGGGCTGATTCGTTTGGAGCGCATGCTTAAGACGAGGATAGCTACAGTGGAGGCGATGCTGAAGAGCTTACAGCATGAGAGGGAGGGAATGGGAGAAGGGAGGGAGGTATCTGAGGAAAGGGAGGAGGGAGAAGGAGAGAGGGAGGGGAGAGGTGGGAAGGAGGATGAGGAGGATGATTTGCCATCGTGGGTGGATACTGCTGGCGCTGCCGCTGCTGCCGGTGCTGCTAGTGGAAGCAGGGCCAGCAGCGTGGGGGGAAGTGAAGCAGGGAGAGAGTTGGTGGTGGAAGGGGACGAGTGGGATGAATCAAGAGCAAAGGTTGAGGGAGGCAAGGCGGCTGAGAGTGGACAGGTGAGTGGCTAAGGAAGCTTGTGAGCCGTCTCAAAAGGGAAGCAAGGAGAGAGTTGGTGGCGGAGGTAGCTGAGTGGGATGAATCAAGAGCGAGGGATGGTGAAGCCATGCTGGCTGAGGGAGATAGCAAGGGAGTTTTGAACTCTGGACTTACTTGCTTCCCCAACCCGCCACCCCCATGATTAGTTTTGCGCTGAGTAATAAAACCATCTGGGAAGTTTGTTTCTTTGTTCTGGATATACTTATCCCTCCATCTTCATCAGGCTGTGAGTTTACTCCACTGTTGACGTTACAACCCCTCCAACACCATTCCTCTCCTCCTCTCTCACCCACATCCCCCCTCTCCACCTCTCCTCCCTTCACCCCCTTCTCTCTCCCCCTCTCCCTCCTACTCACCCACCCCCAACCCAATCAGGTGCCCACCACTACCCAACTCAACCCCTCCCACAACATCCCCTCCTTCCCTCCTCGCTCACCCACCACTACCCTCCCTCCCCAGCTCTCCCTCCTCCTCTCCCACCTCACTCCCTTACACCTCCCCCCAGTCTGTCGCACCGACCCGACAACTCACTCCCTCTCCCCCATCTCGGCCTCTCTCTTCCCCCCTCCCCCCCGCCTCATCCCCTGGAACCCCCACCCCCACCGCTACCTGCTGGCCACGTGCACGCACGGCCGCACCTCCAACCACCTGCTCTGTATTCGTAGGTGGGTAAACCCTTCACCTTCCTCTTTGCTTTCCTCGCAACCTTCCCCCCTTCTGTCCCGTCCCTGCCTCTCACCCCTCCCCTGCCCCATCCATCCCCTGGAACCCCCACCCCCACCGCTACCTGCTTGCCACGTGCACGCATGGCCGCACCTCCAACCACCTGCTCTGCATTCGAAGGTGGGTACTCCCTCCCTTGCCGTCACCCTCTCTCCTCTTCCTGCGACCGCCTCTTTGTTCCTCCTCGCAACCCTTCCCCTCTGTCCGTTGGCTGCCTTTCCCTTGCCCTCCCCTCTCCTGCCCCGCCATTCTCCGCGTTTTTCTTTCCCGCCTCCCTCTCGTCCCTCCTCCCCCATCAATCCCTTGCTTTCTTCCCCCCTGCCCCTTTCCAGGTACCTCGCCTTTGCAGCTCTGCTAAACCGCTCTCTCCTGCTGCCAGTAGTGCACCCCGCCTCTGGTGGTGGTGCTTCTCGGGATGAAGGGGCATGGTTCACACATAAGCGCTCCTCCTCCTTGCCCCTCTCCTCTTCCGTCTCCTCCTCCTCCTCGTCCTCGTCCTCCCCCTCGCCCTCCTCGCGCTCCTCGTTTCTCTTCAGCACCTCTCCACACTCACTCCCCGACGCATCAGTCAGCGGCTTACCCCTCTCAAGAGTGCAGAGCTACACGCGCAGGCAGCTTGTGGGCAGAGAGAGAAGGTCTGGGTCGACTCAGATCAGTGGTAACCCTGCTGCCAATATACCTGATAGGAGGGCACTTGGAGCATCAGGTGTGGCATCAGGTGTAGCAAAACCGTCAGGTGTACTATCAGGTGTTTTATCAGGTGCGCCGCCAGAGTGGATGGACCTGGGAGTGGCTTTAGACGTGGCAGGCCTGCAGCAGTGTGTGGGGCAGGGGAGGGTGGTCACTGTGGACGAATACCTCAGAGGCGAGGGGGTTGGGAGCGGTGGAGAGGGGTGGATGGGGAGGTTGGGGGGACTGTGGAATCAAAAAGGGGGGAGGAGGAGGGAGGTTGAGGTGAAGATGTGGTGGTGGTGGCATGGCGGCGAATCCGTGCGCGCCACGTGTCAGCGGTTCATTCGCGAGGCACCGTGGGCAAAGCTGCTACCCCATAATGATGATGATGGTGTTGATGTGGGTGCCGATGGTGCTACAGCCAGTGACAGCAACAGTGCTACTGGTGGTGCCAGTGGTAGTGGTGGTAACATGAACAATGGTGACACTAACGGTGCTGCTGCTGCTGCTGCTAGTGAAGCCAATAGAAACAACCCAGCACATCTCGCCCGAATCTATGTCGCAGCCCCCATACCTGCCGCCTCTGTGTCCCTCCACCAGTTCCTCTTCTTCTTTGGCCAGCGCACAGAGCAAGTCATTGGGCTGGGAGACGTCTTTGAGGTCACAGGGAAGGTGGATGTGGGGCAGGTGGATGTGGGGCAGGTGCATGTGGGGCAGGTGCATGTGGGGCAGGTGGATGTGGGGCAGGTGGATGTGGGGCAGGTGGATGTGGGGGACACTCCAGGCTCTCCAGGCACTCGAGACACTCAGGCACAGTTGCTAGCGGATAAGCTGCTGGAAGGACACGCCAGTTCAGACGGCCTGCCTGGTCTCTACGACGGTGTCAACGGTGCCGTCCCCATCCTGCCGCCCTGCCGCCTCGCCATGCGTCCGCACCCCGCCGCCCTCTCCGCCGCCCACGCGTTCGCGCGGCGTGTGCTCGGCACACGCTTCGCCGCCCTGCACCTGCGGCGGACGGATTTCGCGACGCACTGCTTGAGGCCGGGCTTCCGGTGCTGGTTACCGCTGTCTCAGATCGCCCGATGCGTGGCTGATCGGATCAACGCCCTCGATGCTGCTGCTGCTGCTGCTGCTAGAGAGGAAGAGGGTGTAGGGCCAGGTGGGACGGAGCAGCAGCAGCACACACGTGTGGGGACATTGTTCGTCGCCACAGACACAACCGACCAGGTGAGTGAGAGTGTCGCACTGCTTGAGGCCGGCGTTCCGTGCTGGTTACCGCTGTCTCAGGTCGCCCGATGCGTGGCTGATCGGATCAACGCCCTCGATGCTGCTGCTGCTGCTGCTGCTAGAGAGGAAGAGGGTGTAGGGCCAGGTGGGACGGAGCAGCAGCAGCACACACGTGTGGGGACATTGTTCGTCGCCACAGACACAACCGACCAGGTGAGTGAGAGTGTCGCACTGCTTGAGGCCGGCGTTCCGTGCTGGTTACCGCTGTCTCAGGTCGCCCGATGCGTGGCTGATAGGATCAACGCCCTCAATGCTGCTGCTGGTGCTGGAGGGAAGGAGGGGGTAGGGCCAGGTGGGATGGAGCAGCAGCAGCAACAACAGCAACAACAAAAGCGGCTCCACTAACCTGTGCGGACACTCTTCGTCGCCACAGACACCACCGACCAGGTGAGAGCGTCGCACTGCTTGAAGCCGGGGTTTCTATGTTGGAGGGAAGGAGGGGTTAGGACCAGGTGGGATGGAGCAGCAGAGCTGCAGGCAGCGGGCATCATCGGCTACAGCAGCACGGTGGAGAAGATGATATGTGTGCATGCACACGCGTTCTGGGCTGCCCCCCGGTTTTCAATCAAATTGAACGCCTTTGTCTACTCTCCCGTCTGCTCCCTGTTCTCCTCCAATCAGGAGCTCCGCTGGTTCTCCCAGATGCTCAAGTCCCTCGTTTGAAATCAGCAGCACCATGAGCGGCAGAGCTGCACGCAGCAGGAATCCTATTTCACAGCAGCACGAGAAGCACCGTGGAGAATATTGTGTGTGTCCATGCCCACATGTTCTTGGGCACAGATTTCATCCCTTCTTCCATCTCCCCGCCCCTCCTTTCTGTGTTCAGGAACTCCGCTGGTTCTCCCAGATGCTTAAGTCCTTAGTGTGGGGAGAGCTATCCATTATCCAGTACCCTCGCTCCAAGTCAGCGGCGCCAGGAGCAGCAGAGCTGCAGGCAGCGGGGATCATCAGCCACAGCAGCACGAGGAGCACTGTGGAGAAGATGGTGTGTGTGCATGCGCTCGTGTTCTGGGGCACCCCGCGGTCGACATTCAGCAAGGATGTGATGCGCATGAGGGGGGCGCTGGGGGTGGCGCACTGTGGGGATGACTGGGTGTGTGGGGGGGAAGAGACGGAGGATGCGGGGGTGAGGGAAATCAGCAAGAGGATGAATGGATGAGTCGTCAGCTTGCGGGGATTGGGTGTGTGGTGGGGAGGAATAGTGCGCTCCACTCTTGTAGTACCTACATTTTGAAAGAAATCAACTGTTAGCATTTGTGTAATGCTGCACATTTGGGTCAAAGAAGGCCTATTGGGAAATCAAGGAGGATTAACACGAAGGGCGCCACCCACACACATCAAAGATCAGTATGTATGTTGGATTCAGATCGTACATGGAACTATGTTGGGTTCACTTGCTGTGTTTCAGAGCTACCAAGTTTGTGGGAGACCAGATCCCAACTTGAGCTAAACGGATTCGGACTGAACTTGCAAACCTCAGAATACATACATATCACACAAATCATGGCTGTACAGGATATGTGCATATTCACCAGATCCCAGACATACTGGCACCTCAAACTCCCTCGGACTCCTTCAAAACCTCCATTAAGCTCGTCAAACCGCCCTCCACCCCTCTAAGCGCCGGGGACGAAGTTCTGAGCGTACGCCCACGCGTTGTTGGCGGTGGGGTCGGCGAGGTGGTCCGCGAGGTTCTCGAGGGGCCGCTTGCCCGTCACGATGGCCTGCACGAAGAAGCCCAGCGCCGACACCTGCGCGAGGCGGCCGTTCTTGAGCTCCTTCACCTTCAGCTCCGCCGCCGCGTTGGGATCGTCCGCCAGCCCCAGCGGGTCGAACGCGCCGCCCGGGTAGATCGGATCCTCCACCTCCTGGAACCCCTCCAAACCGCCCACGCGGTAGCTCTCCACCGCGCCCAGCAGCACCACCTGCAGCACGACGCATCGGTTTACCACGTCACAAGCGTGAGATCTCGTCGAGCTGGCTAATTCAAAATCGACGCAGAAATTGACGCAACAAATTATTTCGAGGCGATCTGTTTCCCGACGGAGTAGGACCCGTGCAAACGACTGGACGAACCTCTCTTATATGGACGCCGAGAAAAAGCATGAATGTGAGAGAAAATGTTCTCTTTTAGCGCACCTGAACGGCGATCGTGGCGAGGATGCTCTGCGCGTGGATGAGCCCGGGGTTGCCCAGGTAGTCGAGCCCGCCCTCGGAGAAGATCTGCGCGCCCGCCTTGAACCACACCGCCTCTTGCAGCGGCACGCCGTTGCGCGCCAGCAGCTCGGGGAAGACGATGCCAAGCGCGCCGAGCATGGCCCAGCGCGAGTGAATCACCTCCAGCTCGCGGTTCTTGGCGAACGTCTCGGGGTCCGACGACAGCCCCGCCGTGTCCCACCCGTAGTCCCCGGGGAACTCGCCCTTCAGGTACGCGGGCGGCGCGCTGAATGGGCCGAGGAACAGGCTGCGATCCGGGCCGTACCACTGGCTCAGGTTGTCAGCGGCCTTGCTGACGGTCTTGCGCATCGTGACGCGACACTCCACGTTGCGGACCTTCGCCGCGAGCTCCGCGCTCGAGCCGACGAACGCGGAAGCGGCGGAAGCCGCGGTGGCGGAGGAGAGGGCAGCCATGATGCTGGTGGGGGACTGAGCACAAGCTGAAGAAAACGGGCTGGCTGAGGATGGTAGTGCTTTGCTGGCTGGACGATTTGCTTTGAGCTAGTTGGGAGGTATTTATCTTTGAGATGGGGTGGGGAGGGGAGTGAACAAATTTCGAATTCGAGTGGTAGGACCGAAGTTCGAGTGTGAAATCGAAGCGGGAATGCTACGCGATTCGGGACTGGCAAAATGCGAAGTTTTTCATGTGAGCTTATTTGCCGAATTTGATTAATCTAATTAGAGCAAACCACGTCATCCGAGGGCAGATGGTCAGATTTTCCGCTTTCGCGAATGCTTCGAACTGGGATGGTTCCAGCGAATTTGGTCTAGCGACCTCTGAATTGTCCCACCTGAGAATTCTATCTTCGATACAGGGTCTCTCGATGTGGCTGTAGGATGAAAATGTGATATGCGTGTTTTGAGCTTGTGAATGTCTTGCAACGAGGTCATTCTGACCTAGTTACTTGCAGGCTGGGCTAGGGTTTCGATACTACCATAGCTGCCCTAAAACTAGTGGGCTCCCTAAACTACGGAGGTCAAGTTAGGTCGTGTAGATAGGGAGGAGGGGACCACCACTTACGTTTCACAGCAAGTACAGAGTAGGCGAAGTTCATATTTGTTCAGGTCTCGTTTCGATTCGCGGGCGAAAACAAAAAATGTAATTTGCACCTTGTACTTCGCATTTAGAGTCGGTAGAGACGGTTTCTGCAGTTTTTAGTCTGGTGTGCCGCTGCGCTCCTATTCCCACCAGCCAGCTAGCTCATTCCAGGCGGAGCTAAGTATGTGGGATTAATCGCCAAACAAATCGGCGCGCACTCGCAGTGTCCAAGTTGAACCTCGTGGTTCGACGCAGGGGTACCCGATGTTGCAATTAGTTGAGATTATAGCTTGTAACTGTCTTTGTAGTAAACCTGGAAATGTGAAATTCATGTGTTTAAGGCAAGAACTAGGGCAGTACGACTAAGTATTTTGGCATTCCTTCTTCTTCCAGCCAGTACTCGTATAAATAGCTAAGTCTAGTACGCAGCAGAGCGATCTCGCGGCAATGGCTTTTCCCATTCCTGCTGCGGACTCTCTTCACTCACATTCTCCCGTTGCTCGCTCCCACCCGTCACCCACTAGTACAGCGTCACTCGTGCAGGCGTCGCACGCTCGCCAGTGTTGATTCGTGTCAACAATTTGTACTCTAACGGCTAGTTCACTTGAAGCCACTAGCGTTCGGAGCCTTTTTGCGTTTGCATCGATCCTGCAGTCAACAACGCATTTAATAGGCAGCTCCTAATTTGAGGGTGACTCAAAAGTTCGCAAACGTCATGGAGGAGCATTTCGTGCTGCGGTTACCACCGTCGCTGGCTTCGCGGATGGACCGCGTGTTGCGGGAAGACCCTACGGCCGCCGCCGACGCCGCTATGGAGCTCTTCTTCCAAGGTAGGTGAACCAGGTGACGGGTGAAAGAAGTGCAGTTTTTAGACGCCTTAAAACTACACTTCTTTCCCGCCGGCGACGCCGCCATGGAGTTCTTCTTCCAAGGTGGGTAAACCTAACTGGCGGCCGCACGGGTTCCTCTGTGATAACTGGAGTGATCCTCTTTCGCACCCCTCCCTGCCTTATGAGACTCGAAATTCGCCGCGGGCGCCGCTATGGAGCTCTTCTTCCAAGGTAGGTGAACCAGGTGACGGCCGCACGGGTTCCTTTGTAATAGTGGGGGGAACCCTTTCGAGCGCCTCAAAATTCGCCACAGACGCCGTCATGGAGCTCGTCTGCCAAGGTAGGTAAACCTAACTGACAGGCACACGGGTTCCTCTGTGATAACTGGAATAATCCTCTCCCGCATCCCTCCCTGCCTTATGAGACTCAAAATTCCGCCGCCGCTGCTATGGAAAACCTTTTTCAAGGTAGGTAAACCGGCTGACAGCTGCAGCGGAACCCTAGTTCTCATGGGTTCTTCTGTGATCAATGGGGGCATCCTCTCCCGCATCCCTCCCTGGTAGAATTGTGCCAGTCAACCCGTCCTCACCACTCCCTTTGCTGCTACCTTACCCAAATCTCCACCCATACCAGCTGAGGGTTGCGCAGGCTCGTTTCTGATGTGTGGGGAGTCATTTGCCGCATCCCCCCCTGCTGGATCTGCCAGCGGTGGTAGAAGAATGACGCGAATCAATCCGTCCTCACCGCTCCCTTGCTGCTACCTTACACCTCAAGGACCACCCATACCAGCTGAGGGTTGCGCGATCTCTTTTGTGATAGGTCAGGAGTCATTCGCCGCATCCCCCCCTGCTGGATCTGCCAGCGATGGTAGAAGAATGACGCGAATCAATCCGTCCTCACCAGTCACACACACTCCTCCCCTTCCCCCACCTTCCCTCGAACCAGCTGACGGTCGCATTCTTTACTTTGTGATCACAAGGGGAATCCTCTCCCGCGCCCCTCTCTGCTGGATCTGCCTGCGGTAATAGATAGAGTAGAGTTATCGTGCGAGTCAACCCGTCCTCACCACTCGCATTTCTCCCCCTCCCCCACCTGCACTCCACCCACACCAGCTGACGGTCGCATCGCATTCTTTACTTGGTGATCACAGGGGGAATCCTCTCCTGCGCCCCTCTCTGCAAAGTCAACCTGTCCTCACCTCACCAGTTGCAGTCCTTCCCCCCTTCCTCCATCAGTCACCCACACCGGCTGACGCCCGAACTGGCTCTGCTGGGCCTGCCAGCGGTGGTGGAGTCGTGGAAGGCGCATGACAATAACTCGTCCACCACTCTCACTGCTCCCTTACGCCCACCTCACTCACACCAGCTGATGGGCGCACGGGTTCCTTTGTGATGGGCGGGGAATATTTTGCATCTCTCCTGGACCTGCCAGCGGTGGTGGATTCCTGGAAAACGCATGATGACAGCTCGCTCGTCCTCACCACCCCACCCCACCCCAACCCACCACCCCATCTCCTCCCAACACCAGCTGACGGCCGAACGGGCTCCTTTGTGATGGGTGGTGAATCTTTTCCCGCCTCCTTATTGGATCTACCAGCGGTTGTCGAGTCGTGGAAGACGTACGATGATAATTCTCTCGTCAAAACGGCCGACGTGGGGCAGGTGGGACGTGGGGTAGGTGGTATCTGGGAAAGTTGTGTGTTTATTGGGCAATGGGTGGATGATCTGCCAGCGGTTGTCGAATCTTGGAAGACGTACGATGATCATTCTCTCGTCGAAACGGCCGACGTGGGGCAGGTGGGACGTGGGGGTAACCGGGCAGGTGGGACGTGGGGGTAACCGGGTAGGTGGGATGTGGGGCAGGCGGGGCGTGGGGCAGGCGGGGCGTGGGGCAGGTAAAGTTAGAGGGTAGGTGGGAGGCCGTTGCTGGATGTGGGGTGTGGTGGGGTGTGGTGGAGTTGTGGAAGACGTATGCGGAGGACTCGCAAGACGTATGCCGAGAACTCGCCTGTCAAATGGCAGATGTGGGACAGGTGGGATGCGGGGAAGGCTGGATTCGGGGAAGGCTGGATTC